AATTCGTAGGAAAAGTACTTGGTGTGAAAGCGCCTATTGGTGCTCTAGGAGGAGATTCAGCTGATAATGTGTGGGGGGGGGTTACCTTGGTTGGTGATTGGCTAATGGTTACACAAGCCAAAACATCGTTATGACATCACAAAGTGGCCAAAATCTGATTAGCTCATTGTCAGACAGGTTTTTATATAAATGGATCAGGACAAAAAGAGAGTGAATCTCTTTACACAGAGGGGACATATTTTCCCTATAACTGTACAGGCCTAGAACCCCCCAAAATATTGGCAAATACTCATTTCAGTGTTTCTGCTATATTCCTATCTGATACAAGTGTTTGTGGTTAGTTCACAGGTCTGTAATAACATAGGACAGGGGAGTGTCTAAACCGATTAAATCAAATAATAGGTGTAGATAATCTTGTTGGTAGCCTACAAATAATTGGTTAGTGTTTGACATGGAACCTACGGATTCAGTGTTTCTGTGTTTAGAGCTAAACCAGAGAATAGAGTTTAAAAATATATTTTATGCTGTTTGTAAAAGTTTGCAGAAAGTGATGTAACATTAGTAAATGTATGTGAAGCAAGCTGTGCACTGTTAAAAAAGCCTTTCAAATGCTATATCGCTTGTTAGCACTGTATAGTACTTAATACTAGCTCCACCTCAACAATAAAATACATTGATGCATGACAATCTCTAATAATGTATTAATGTGTCCTTACTTACACTTTGCTTTACCTAACTAAAAGGATCTGAATACTTCTTCTAAAATCAAATGCTTAACTCACCAGACCATCAAGCAATGATTCGTTATTTAAAAAAAAGTTTTAGTTTGTTTTATGTTTTTCTTTGTCAACGCATTTATTGCTAACAGAGGCATCATAACATGAAGCTATAAAATGTAGTTTGAATGAGGTGACACTGTTTAACACATTTTATATTAATCCCTGGACATCTATCCATCTGCACTTCCTGTTACACAACTTGGAAACCTGTCAATGAGAACAATGAAGTCACACAAGAAAAGCCTGGTGAAACTAAAAACACATGACAGCATGCACACAACACACTCACAAAACAGGCCCTAAAATCTACCTCGGGGCTCGGGGAGGACACTACCAGAGAACAGATTACAGGTTGTGAATCTCCATATTTGGAGTGCGAGTGACTGATTGGAGGAGTCGCGATGAAGCCACATGTTGACAGTGCCAAATGAGGCAGGGGCACAGCAGGTTCATGCCATTAGTGCAGCTGAGTGTGTGAAGTGGACACACCCTCATGCAGGTAGGCTTTGCTTTCGTTGAAGGCCCTGGGGCCACAGGGGACTCTGAGCAATTAAAGGATTTGCCAAGACACGTAACCCAGATTCTCACTACTCGACACAAGGTGTGGCAACATGAGAGGGAGGAGGCGGAAGTTTTAGCTTGAGGCCTTCACTGTAAAAACAAATAGAAATCTGTCATCGAATCATTAATATAATTAAATGAGTTGATTTTGTATTATGCTTGTTTAATCGTGAACTCAACTTGGCAAATGCATGACAAGTTTTTATAAAAAGTAACATTTGCATATTGACTGAAGTGAGTGGAGTGGGCATGTTGGTTCACATAAAGAGGTACTGTCCTACATACAAAGTCATATTGTAAGCCAATCTCTGTCTCATTGCTTAGTTAGCACAGTAATAAAAAAGTCTACTGAACAAACAATCCTGTAAATGAAGACTGATGACTCAGGATCAACCTGTGTCCTCGTGCTGAATGAATCCAGCTTTTTTGTCTTTTCTGGTGAAAAAGAGAGCCATCAAGTGGCCAAATGAAGGTCCTGAAGCTTAAGTTGTTACTGTCTATTTGTTTCTTTTAGGATCTGTGATCTAGTTATGTCCTTTCGAAAGCGAATGGATGAAAACACCCAAAATATTATATCTGACAGAATTTCTGAACTACATCAAATCACGCATTGAAATGTCACATCAAGATTTTGAAATGACAAAAACCTCTTGCTGTAATGAAACATTTTAACAGCAACTCACACATAAATTGTAGGCAGACAATAAATGTTTGTAATGTTTAACTATTAGTTGTACCCGCAGCAAAATTACTTAGGCCTAATTGTATTGTCAATGTTTTAGCTATGCAGCAACGTTAGTCTTATTAGCATGTGTACGGCTGCTAAATACTATCTTAACAATAATGGTCAACTAAAAACAATTATTACACCAGCAGAATTTCATTGTGTTTCTCGGTTTCATTTCAACATCAAATTATCACATAAAAAATACAAATAGCGTTGTCTTTCTCTAAATGTATGCTAGGTCAATTAGCTACCAAGCTCACGGAGCTACTCACGCCAGGTTAGCAACAGTTATTCCATTACCGATCTTAGCTTGAAAGCTAACGTTGGCAAACTAAAATTGTTGGGTAGTTTCCAAGATAACATAGAAGTTATTTTAGAAACACTTACCGCTGCTATGACGAAACTTTTAGATGCCTTTTAGACTTTTCTGAACATCTGGATGAATAAAAATGGTCCGCTGAAGGACAAAAAACGATTTACATCCCAAAGTTGGAGTTCTAGTTCCTGCCGTTGGACCGCCATCTTTGGTTTGATGGGGAGTTGGCTAACGAAGGAAAACCTTTTATTCAAACTTGAAACTTTGTTTTATTTAATTTATTTGTTTAAAATAAATAGTGGCTTTTCAATAAAGTTTTCAAAGTTATAAAACAGCGCCCTAGTAATATAATAATTGTGTTTAGCCCACAGTTTGATGTTGATTTGGGTGACCCTTTCACCAAACCCCCAAACCTTGTTAAGTTTAATAAATGCGCATATGACATTTATGCGCACCAAAGGAAATTATGTACCTAGTGAGTGCACATCTTCTTTTCAACAGTTCAGCAGGAAGAGCATATACGATTAATTTGTTCCAAAAAGCAGCAAAACCTTGTTTATTTTAAAAACATATATTAATCTGCTGTGGTACACAGTAAGTAGGCTTCATGTAATCAAGTAGTCCTACTCTAGACTAGGCTTCTTGGGATAACATTTGAGGTATTCTACTCAAGTATTTCCATTTTCTGCAACATTATACTTCTTCTCTACCACGTCAAATGGGAATATACTCATTTGTTTGACAGTTTATTTTTTAGATTACAGTTTTTCATCTTATTTCTGTCCAGTGAAAAACATGTATTTCCAAATGTTTGTAATGTTTATGCGTGTTGCAGTATTCTTGGCTGGCTCTTGGCCAAGAAACTTAACCCCAAGTTGCTACTGATGGCCAACGGTGTGTGAATGTTGGTTTCCCCAAGAACCTTGCATGGCAGCCTCTGCCTCTTCTATATGAATGTGTGAATGCTTTGTAAAAAGTGCTTTGAGTAGTCTTGAATAGTGTCAAAGCACTATACAAATGCAGTCCATTTGAACTGAAGAACGAAGTGTTCCTTAATGGGTTGACACAAATGTTCTACCTCTCAAGCTATAACATATTTAAAACACATCTTGGTTGAGCAGGAAAATGACTCATCACAAGCAAAGCTAAGAAAATCAATAGACATACATTTACGACCGACCGACCGACCAACAGACAGACAGACAGAATTAAAAAAGAAAAACATTGTATGCATTATTTGTTTGTGTTCGGAGGAAGAATTGGACACATAGCTTCAAGGTAAAAATACCAGAACAGAAGTTTATAGTGGTACATGCTCATACACACAAAGAAAACCTGATTAGACAGTGACTAGATAGAGATTTTAGCTTCATATCATTCATCAAAATGTAGTTTATTAAATGTATTAAGACAAAGGTTAAGGGCCTTGAGCTAAATAATCATTGCTGTGTCAGAACCTATTGCTTTTAGGCCTTTTGATTGATGTATGACATAAATAAAATCATGTAAAATATATAAATAATAATGCAATTATAATAATAACACAACAAATAAAAAAACATTATTCTATTTGTATCCTATTAAGGATTCTTGACAATGAGTGTTACTTGTTGTCCAAGCTTAATAAAACATGTTTACCATCTGTATTTTCCAGTGTATCCACAGGGTGGCAGCACTTTATCACGTGTTACAGCCTCCTGCCATGCACCCTCCAGGGTTGACAGTGAGGGGGAAAACGTTGTATGCCATTGCGGCCACAATGATGAAGGTCACACCATTACAAGTTCCAGTTGTGTTGTGGAAACATGGACTTTCATTTTAAAAGTGAGAATTCGGGAAAAGCTGAAATTTAATCATCCAACTATTGTCTACAGTAGATGTTGGGATTGAGTCAGCAATATAAACGGAGGGTGCTCTTGAGGAACAAGCAAACACATTTCTATGTATTGTCAATCCCTTAGTATCTTGGATGCACTGTGAAAAGAGTTAAGAACCTGGTTTATGCTTGACTCAGCAGCACCATATCTAACAATGACTGTCAGCTTCTGTGTGCATGAACTTTGCTTTCTGCTCAGAAAAAACAGGAAGTCTCAGAATCAACTTTAGGTGTTACATTTGAGGGGGAAAACAGTATTTGCATTATGCATGCCTGGGGTAGCAGACTTTTGGAGGTTTTCATGTAACTTTGAAGTCAGAAATCCAGTTACAGTATAGGGTTACTTGAAGTCATAGTAAAGTTAAAAAAAAGGTCATTATTTGCCACGGAAACAAAATCGATTGTGACTCACAGATAATTAATGTTAAAAATAAATGAGCAGCAAATTATAATACTTTTTATGTCAAGAGAAAAAAACGTGTTTTCTTTAATTAAAAAATAAATAATCACCATACACTGCTGCACATTTCCTCACAAACATTTCCTTCACACAAATAACTATAATATAATGATTATGATGATATAAAGTGAGGGTAATGAACATTGGGGTGAAAACCTGACGACAAACATCACTTTGATGGTGAAAACTTGTGAATGTGACATTTGTTCTCAAAACATATTTTTCAAATGGAAAAACTGAAATCGAAAAACCCGAAACATTGTCTTTTTGTGACACTCCAAATGTAATATTGCTACTTTTTCAATGGACATTCTTTGGTGCTTTATGCTGCTGCCAATGACTCCTAATTATTTCAAATAAAATAAAAAGCGTCCCTGCTATGGCAAATGGACTGCATTGTTGTAGCGCCTCAAAATATCTCACATTAGCCTTAACACACACCCATTCATACTGCCATGCAGGGTCGTGATGCTGCTCACCGCAAACAGTTTGGGTACCTTGCTCGAGGACACTTATAATAACATGCTTTCAAGACAGTAACAACCAGGAACTGATCTGTGGTCAACCGGCTCTACACCCCGAGCTCAGTCACACACACACACACACACACACACACACACACACACACACACACACACACACACACACACACACACACACACACACACACACACACAGCTGAATGAGCATTCTAAAAATGTATATTATATTGGAAGACATCTTTTTTCATGCATTTTTTTCCGAGGCATTGTCGTTATTCACTAAAACATTCTTCATGACACACGAGGATGGTGGGTTTGTTCTTATAGAGCATTGTGTAGCTACATTACTACAGTACTTTGAATAATACTAAAGGACAATATGTACATTTTAAAAATAACGTGTTACAGCTGTAGCTACTTTTTATGAGGATTTCTACGCAGCAAGCATTCTGCTTTCAGATAAAATGATGTCCCCTTGAAAAACAAGTATTGCTCTTGAATTAACTTCCTCCCCGGATGATAACACTAAACAACTGTTTGTTTTTTATTTAGAGGTCTTTGCAGTCTGTGGGACAGGAGATATTGTAAGTGTGTAATCCGGGTCATTTAAGACCTTGATCTCCCTAAGGTCGACCCCACATGAAAATGCGTGTGTTGGTTATGAGATGCAGCAGCATGGAGTTATTGTGTCTCTGTGGACAGCAGAGAGCACGAGGAGTGATTTCGTTTTCTGTCTGTTCTGACACACCTCTGCACACCAGCCCAGTGTACACAGCTGTGTGTGTCTTCACCCCTCACAGTTAGTGGGTGAGGCGATCAGATTGTGTTAATCCTTCATTCATTCTCCTTTAAAGTGACCATTAGCATCATATTCCGTCCCTAAGCTCCTCCTCCCTCCACCTCCACCTGACCAGCCGTCCTCGGGCCCCTCGTGGAACCGCAGCCGCAGCGTTTTGTGGATGACAAAGCGCTCCACGATGAAGGAGGCGCAGAACCAGGGCACTGCATACTCAGCCGTGATCAGTCCCTTGAAGTTGTAGCGAAACTCGGAGTAGTCCCATGGACAGGCGTTGAACTGTCGCAGCAGCAGCCCCGTGCCAAACTCCCAAATGTACGTCCATAAGGTGTAGATGACGCAGCGCAGCAGCACGGGGCAGCGGCCGCGTAGCTGCAGGTACATCTGCTCCACGATGAGGATGCAGGTGCCGTAGATGAAGAGCGCCCACACGCTGGTCACGCCCGGGAACTTCCAGTTGCAGTTGACCACAAACTCCCAGGCGGCGGTGAACATGACCTCGCAGAAGTAGCCGTGGATGGCGTAGAGGTACCAGCGGGACAGAGCTGTGAGAGGGACGGGAGCCTCGGGGGTCGCCACGGTCACCATCCTTACTGATGCTCTCACACTGATGTTCTATCTGTTATAATGTGTGGCAGGTCTGAGGAGAAAGGAGCAAAAGAAAGGTTGTTAGAAAGGGACACAATATGCCAACTTCATCCACTTTCAGGGGAGACATTGAAGGTGAATAGGGTCAGATTTTTAACAAATAGAAACCATCATGAAACTTCCCCAATGTATTAAGACTATTCCTTTTTGAATTACACATTTTCTGAATTGTTCAAATATGCACATTTTGTATTTTCTTCTGGTGAATTTATGAGCAGATGCAAAGTAATTAAAATAAAGGTATAAATGTGTATTTTTTTTAAATGTTTAAATTACCCAAAATGTCAAAAGTTTCTTTCAATTTTTTGATGCTATTTATGCTTGGTATTTTTCTGTTATACACATCTAAAGTTTTTACATTATGTGCTCTAATAATCTAGTGTCATTTTATCTCACTGACATCAATCTCACTGTCAAAGCTGTATTAAGTTACTGGTGAAGCCAAATAAGCATCCTCCGCCTGCTGCTTCACATTAAAGCTTTCCAATGGAAACACAAAGGGGTGACTTTTATTTTGAAGAAGACACGGAAAAGGAAATGCATATAGTCATCTTTGTGTTTGCTAACCATGATATTTAATCGAAAATGCATCCAAATGCATGGTAACAGTGTCCTGTTGTTGGAAAATTACTTATGGTGTGCACAGAATGAGATCATCGCGGTTGAAATACTGGGGAAAAAGCATATTATTATGCCCGTCTACTGCACACCCAAATCCGTGAACACATTACACCCGTCCTCATCAAGCTCCACTGGCTCCCCATCCCCCAGAGAATTCAGTGGAAAATCCTCCTAAGGACATACAAAGCCCTCCATAACCTGGCCCCATCCTAACTGACTGACCTCCTCCACAGACACACTCGCTCCCTCCGCTCTGCTGCTGCCGACCTCCTGTCCCTCCCCACCCGGACCAACCTCAAGTCCTGGGGCGGCAGAGCCTTCTCCGTTGCTGCACCCACCCTCTGGAACTCACTACCCCGATCCATCAGAGATTCTTACTCCCTCACAGCACACAACATCACTCAAAACCCACCTGTTCAACACTGTATTCAACAACTGGCCACCCCCCTCCACCCCTATTTTCTGTTTTGTTTATCTCTTTTTGTATTTCTGTTTTTTTTTTGTGTCTTTTCTTAATTCTCTGTCAAAGCGTCTTTGAGTTTCATGAAAAGCGCTATAAAAGTCCCATGTATTATTATTATTATTATTATTATTATTATTAAAGATCCAAGTGCAGCGGAGAATGAAACTCAAAAAGTAAAGGACAAAAGCATCAGAAGATGATAAAAAAAACTACAATAAAACTTGAGCCATTTCCTTGGTTTGAAGATGGAGACACTGTTTCAAAGAAATGAAAAATAAAGGTGCCATAGGGACAGAGCTCTGCAAGGATCCCTTTAAAATTGACAAAAATCGCTTTTCGCTGGGAAGAATAGTGGTAGTTTGAAAAACAGAACATACAAATCACCTCATGGAACATTCTGGGAAAGTCACTGAACGTTTGTGTGTAGATTATCCAGGAAAACACAATGATTTTTAGCCAGGCAACGTGGAAAAATATGCAGTAAAACATTAAAGAGATTGCCCTCTCCAGGATCCATAATAATCTACTAGGAGGTTAAGTGCTCCAGGGGTCGAGAGATCTATACAGTATGAGGCTTATTAAATAATTGACAGTTATTAGGGAGACCGAGAGAAACTGTAATTCTAAAGGAAAAGTTGCTAATTTTTTAACAGTACTCTTTAACGTGAAGACACTGGTTATTAAATGACATAACAAACTAATTATACACCAAGTTCTTGACACATCTGAACAAAACAAAGAACACGCTCTGCTTCTCAGGGTGTTCATATTATGCAGCTAAAAACATGCTGTGTAATAGACCTGGAGGATGCACTTGGCTCATCAACATGCTGCATTCCGTGGGTAGATTCCTCTTTCTTCCCTGTTCCAAATGCCACCCAAAACTGTGTTAAAGCCCATTTTCAAGACATAATGTGCAAAATGTAATATGCTTCACAACATTGGATTGGTACTTACCAAAGCATGACAGAGCCTGAAAATTGGTATCATGGCGGGGTGTACAATCTCCCCTGTAGCATTCAGAATTACAATGGAGGTGATCATTAGGTCATCAAAGAGGCTTATGGTAGCAAAGAGGACCATTTCTACAAAACCATGTGTCAAATATTCTCAACTGTGATCCAAAATACATGAGAAACCAATTATGAGCTGAGGGAGATGGAATTTAAACTGGTAATTCTACAAAATGAAAAAGTTAGAGACTTCCAGAGGGCAACAGCAAGGGGTTCAATGGCAGGAGCAAAAGCAGAAAGAAATCCTTGTTCATTCCTTAGATGTGATGCACAACAACCAAACATGCTAACCCCCACAGCCTTACTACAACAACACTAGCAAGGGCACACTATGTCCTGCATTTGTAATTCACATTGAAAGTAAATCGAGTGAAATAGCTCAAAATGAGTGGAAGTGGGATTAAATAGTCCAACATAAATGCAATTCCTATAATGTGTGTTTAAGAATAGGGACATACGGTTACTATGAATGAGATGTATAGTCTTAAAGAGGAATTAATCATATTTTCGTTTAATCCATTGAGGTTTCTGCTCTTTATGATGACTCATTTCATTTCAAAGTAACAGCTGCTGCTAATGGAGACATTTTGGAGGGATTGAGAAGTCATTTGGTTTTAAAATGATTCATTCTAACAAAGAAGTGTGCCAAATGATAGAACATTTGCTTGGATTTAACTGATGGAAGCTTTATTACTCTACTGCAGGTTGGGTAACCTTTTTTAGTCATATACCAAACGTTTCTTCCCAGGAAAAAACAGATACAGAGTTGAATGTTTAATTAATCTGCAATTCAAATCTGAAAGCCCACAAGATACAATGCAACAATACGAGGTGAGGTGAGAGAAATGGGCTATCCTAAGACAGCTGATGTGTAGAGGAACATGAGTGGATACTCTTATCTGCGCTGATGCTCATATGCAGTGAATGCTAAAATGCTACAGGCCTGTCTGGAGAGGGACAGTCTTATCAGAACTTCAACAGACGACTGGCCTTTTTTTCTTATTTCATTTTCACCAGATTTCCACATCAAGACTGGTATTTCCATCAGGTCCTTCTGGTTGTATGTCTGTGACATTGACTCTGCTTGCATGTAAATGTTCATTTTATGGTGATCCAAGTGAATGTGAAGGGGTCAATTTTGGTGTTTTAATATGGGTTATTTTTGACTCCTCATTATGAATGTTACAGAGCGTGCTGGCATTTGCTCTGCAGAGAACATCTGTCTGGGACTCAACTCCGGAGCTGCTATTGTTCAGTGTGTGTGGTGTGTGTGTGTGTGTGTGTGTGTGTGTGTGTGTGTGTGTGTGTGTTTGGCCCTGCTCCCCTGTTGTGTCACTTCCTGTCAGTGTGTCCTGCTCAGATCAGATTCAACACAGATCAGTGAGAGGAACCTCCCTCTGCATTGGCTTCAACTTATATTTAAATGCATTTCCTTGAACTGTCCCCCTTCTCTAAAGCAGTATTTTTGTACCTTACTCGTCAAATTATTAAGTTAGACACTCTGTCCAGATGTATTCCTCTGTCCATTGTCAGAAGAGCGTTGACGTGTAAAGCCCCAACAGACCGGAGTACTTGACCTGCTGCTGTAGATCATCGTTGGGTTTGTTTCATCATCATCTCACTTCCAGCTGCTCTTGTTATTGATCAAACTGATCTGAGACACTGTCTATCACATTGTAATGATTGTAGGTATTACTTCATGAATGTTACTGAACAGACGGCACGTGGTTTGTCGTGCTTTGCTTTCTGTTATTTTGTTCATGTCTGTCTGTGAGACGTGGCTTTTGTCGGGACCCCCTTGAAACCCAGATGGTGCGTCTCAAGGGGTTTATCCTAATAAATACATTTCTATATATATAATCTAACAGAAGGGAGGGGCTCTGTGACCTTCGACCGCTCTGGTCTGACCGTCAGGCAAACTGAAGTGTAGACTGACCCTGACCCCCCTTTGAGACCCTCAGAGAGACCTTGACCCCCCCTCTGAGACCCTCAAGACCTTCAAAGACCCTCAAGAGACCCTCAGAGAGACCCTGACCCCCCTCTGAGACCCTCAAGACCTTCAAAGACCCTCAAGAGACCCTCAGAGAGACCCTGACCCCCCTCTGAGACCCTCAAGACCTTCAAAGACCCTCAAGAGACCCTCAGAGAGACCTGCAGGAATGTCTCAGTATCTAATGTAATCCTGTCTAGTGCTGTCCCAAGGCCTGTTCTCCTGAATTCTTCAAAGCAGATTCCTGGATAACCGCACTTCCAAAATACTTCACACTTGAATCTCTGCTTCTTTGGAACCTGAGAAAAATATCTGCCCAACTTGAAGTCAATCCAATGAACGCTATGATCACCCGTTGGATTGTGGACTACAGCTTTGAAGCCACACGTTTGGCATGTTGTTTTATTGGCTGTCACCTTGTTGTTATTTTGCAGTCTCTATGTTGATTTTGGGAAACCAGAAGTGACGTAAGAGGGTGGAGCTAAAACTAGCGAGCATTGAAGAGAGGCTCTATTCTGCTTGTTGTGGTGTTCTCTCTCATGCAGATGGGTGCTACTGAAATGCAGTAAACTCGGGTGTAACGTCACTCCTATTTCCCACCTCCAATGTAAAAGTAAGGCAGCATCATTTTGAGATGTTCAGAAAAAGTCTGACATTTAAGCAAAAAGTAAAAAATGTTGAGATAAAAGTCTGAATTTATATATTTTTTTAAAGAAGTCAGAATTCTATTTTTTTTTTGTTGTAAAAGTCAGATTCTCGAGATTATGAGAGAAAAAGTCATAATTTTGAAAAAAAAGTCATAAAAAATAAAAACTGAATTCAGATATTTTGAGAAAAAGTCAGATTGTTTTGAAAAAATTCTAAGTTTTGAGAAAAAAAGTCAGAATTCAGATATTTTATTTGAT